CCTTAATCCTAGGATATGACTTTCCTAATTTTATTTAAATCTAATCTTTCCTAAATTTATTCAAATCTGTAATCAATCAAATCAAATCTTTCTAAATTTGCAGCAAATCATATCTTTCTTAATTTTCCGCAAATCATATCTTGCCGACACCTTGTACCCTAACACCCGAGATGGCATACGATTGATAAGATATGCAACAGACATAACAGCTTCCATCCAGAAATGTTTAGGAACATTCATGCACAATAACAAACCACAAGCAACTTCAAGAAGATGCCGGTTCTTTCGTTCAACAACACCGTTTTGTTGAGGAACATGCAACACATTAGAGAGAGAGGCCAAAAGGAAGAGAGATGGTTCCTTGACTAGTAATGGTAGAGAGGGACCCATCAGCTAGTCTCACCTTGTCTCTCCCAGAGGAGGTTATATGCCTGAAACAAATTGGACTTACCTGTCATGTGATTTGAGGCTCCAGAGTCAATGATCCAAGGAGACTCGATGAGTGAGATGACACATGGAAGGCAGTAGCAGAGTTACCTGATGTAGATGCAAAAGAGGTAGATGGTGTAGGACCTGAGTCCATTTGACGAAGTGTCCTACCATACAGTTCCAAATGATCACGGAAGGAATTGATAATCTCTTCCTTCGGATCAGAACTAGTAGGGCGATCATGAGGTACAGTGGGGGATGAAGTCTCTTGAGTTGCCACATTTTCTGAATTGTACTTCTTTTGGCTTTGTTGTATTGGCTTCTTATTTTGATCAGTTGATTTTTTGCTCAACTCCATAGCCCACTTTGGCTTCCCATGAAGATTCCAACAGGTCTCTCTCTTCTTATTTTGATCAGTTGATTTTTTGCTCAACTCCATAGCCCACTTCGGCTTCCCATGAAGACTCCAACAGGTCTCTCTAGTGTGCTTAGGCCGTTGACAATGAGTGCACCATAGTTTGTCCTTATCTGCCACCCTTTTTTGGGAATCACCCTTCTTAAAAAGGTTGTTGCCATTCACATTAGTACCACCCCTAGCTATCAAAGCAACTGGCTCCCCCCCTAGAAGTATTCATCACATTTCTTCTACTTTCTTCTAACTGCACTAAAGCGTAAACTTCTTGGACTGAAGGGAGGTCTTTACTTCCAAGGATTTGAGCCCTAATAGATTCATACATAGGGTTCAGTCCCAGTAGAAAGGAAAACACCCTCTGTTGGGAGACTAGAGTCCTTGTAGGCTTTGGCATCATCTTCACACTTCCCAATTCATATTCTGGTAGTGATCCAGCTCCTTCCAAATTGAAGTCAGGTCCGAGTAATATATGGAAATACTTCTTTCCCCTTGCTTACATGTAGTAGACGCAGCTTGCAGTTGATATATTTTCACATAGTGTCTCTGTTCTGAATATGTTGTTTTTGCTTGTAAACAAATTTCAGCAGCAGTCTCAGCCCACATAAAGTTTCTCCTTACTTGTGGGAGCATTGATACAAGTAACCATGACATTACCATACTATTCTCTTGGTTCCATTTGTCGTATTCAGAACTCCCAGATCTTGGTTCTTTAATTCTGTCATTGATGTACCCTATTTTTCCCCTTGCTGTAATGTAAAGCTTAATCCCTCTTGACCACTCCAAATAATTGAGGCCATCTAATGGAACAACAGCCATGGGGAAGGTCATGTCAACACTCCCACCTAGTTCACTATAGCTGGAAGACATACCCGAAGTGGCTGTATCTTCAGAGGTCATGGAAAAAAGGACAACCGGAAAGCACTTCCAACTACAGATCAGATGTCTCAAACACACAAAAGTAGGTTCTGGTATTCGACAGCACTGAGACAAACTTTACCAGAAAAAAATTCACACATCTGGCAACAATCCAACACACATCTGACAACAATCCAACACCAGAAAAGAGAGCAACCACAGTGCCAGGTTATCCTCCCAAAAGAAAACGCCACAGAACAAAGGAGAAGGTCCTTCAGTCACAATTATTCATTCAAGAAAGGTCACACAATGACCAAAGCCACCAAACTGGACTTACCTCTGTTGTTGCAGTCACCACCAATCATTCTTGACCAGTGAACATCTCCCATATGGGTACAGGAAGGATCACACGATCCTTACAGGTGTAAAAACACCACCCAAAATCTTCACAGCATTCTGTCACCACGAGCAAACAGCTGTCTTGGCACACCACCAAGAAGAAAATAAAAAAAAGGTAAAAAACACCTCTCAGATCAGTTTCGTCTGATTTCCTTTGATTGATCTAGAAAAAAAGGCAAAGGAGGAAGAGAAACAAGGTTCGATCTGTCTTCAGGCCCACGGAACCCGCTCTGATACCATGTTTTCTGGGTAGAAAAAGAAGAACAGAAGGGAAGAAGCAGAGACAGGAAGAGAGAGAGGAAAGAAGAGAAAGGAAGAAGAGAGAAACAGAAAATAGAGAGGCAAAAGTTGTGCTGGCGGTGCCAGCTTTTTCTTATATAATAGGGCAACACAAAAAAGAGTAAAAAGACCACAGTACCCCTGTGGCCTACAATACATAAAAGAACTAACTGTTTTAACAGTTCCAATTTCTTAAAATGCCATCAGTTGTGTGCAATCTAAGTTATTTTAAATGATTTTCTCTGGACTTCTTTTCTGTCCTGAACAATCTTGCATTTCTTTCCTATTCATCTAAAAAAATCTAGCATCTCTTTCCTCTCATATGCACCATACCGCTGCTGCCCTTGTGCATCTTGGGAGGGGTGGACTGGATATGAACGTAATCTTTGGCACTTCTTTTGTACAAAGCATTCACTATCAGACTCGATCCCATGTTCTGATGCTTATCAGCCTGAGATTTTCCCATTGCACCAAGCAATGGCCCCTTCCAGACTTGATTAAGAAAGATGGCAAAGTGTAACAGTAAAGAAAGGCATTACAATGGTAAATTTTTAACTGACTCCTCTAAGATTTTACATAGCAACCAACTATTTTCCAGAACTCTTCCTCTAGTTACAAGATGCTTGGTTTTTAGAATCTTGTCATATGTTGCAATCCACATTAGTTATTGTGTACTCATTTGGAATTCTAACCTGTTTTCTACTGTAACAATCAATTCAACAAATTTTGTTTTATTTATCAACACAAGCTAATGAGGCCTAAAGGTCATGTCTGTTGACGGACTTCTGTGCATGTATTCTGTTGATTTCCATTGATGTTCTCATCTGACAAAGAAAACCTGTTAAATGCAGAATGTGCTAAGCGTATTCCAGATGTAGAAGTTTCAGGAAAGAAGGGAATAGATCTTTCAAAGATTCCCATTGACCTGAAAAGTGGTGATTGGGCTCTCAAAGTGGTTCCTTGGATCGGGGGTAGGATAATCTCTATGATGCATGTTCCTTCTGGTAAGATTTGTTCTCTTGATATTACATTCTTCTTTTCAACTATGAAGGATGGTTAGTCATATTGAATGGGTCCTCGGATTTTTTACTTGGGAAGAATAGCCAAGTTAATCTGCAGTTTTGTTTTTTATCTGGTCATTTATCTGCTCATGTGCACCCTTTTTTTCTTTACCAATTAATGTTTTTAAATTGTGTATAGCATTAAAAGAATTGTGTTCTGACGTATATGGACAGATGGATACAAGATGTAAATTTGATACTCTAATAAACAATTATTATTTATTTTCTGTATGACATTTTTTAATAAGTATGGAAATGTAGACATCCCATTGGAAGAAAATGCTTGTAGTGCTCCTTTTTTCCGTTTTCTCCTATTTCTTTGCACATAGAGTTCAGCGGTATTGATTCCTTTTATATTTATATTTTGATAGTGTTGTAATTTGTACTTTTAGTCATGTAGGGTACTATGTTCTTTTACCTTTAATTACGTTCAGTCTAATAAAATAAGGAGTGGGCACCACTACTCTAAACTTTTGGCTCTTCATTCTTTTGTCTTCTCTTCTCTATTTTCTCTTATTCCAAGACTGCCATCATGGTATCAGAGCAGGAGTTTGATCAATTTGTCTCTTATTGGTTCATTTTTTCCTTGTTTATGTGATTTTTCTTTTTCTTTTTTATTCTATTTGTTTGCGTGGTTAAAGAGAAGAGATGTTCAGATTTACTTGGACTGATTGAAGGTAGCATTTTGTCTCCCTCTTTTGTTCTTTTTTCCTTGGTTGTAATAGCAAGGAGATTCTTTTCAGATCTGAACATTGAAACTGGGCGATGTAGGACAATATTTGGAATTTTATTAAATCGGATTATCAGCCAAGGCTGTATACCTATATGTGTTGAGAGTTGGTAAGGGTGTTTCTATGTTTCTGATAGGTTGGCTGGTTTGAAATGTTGCTTGAAGGCTGGATCATATTCTTTCCGCACTGAAGTGTTGCCTATATTACTGATTATTGTGGTGAATATGGAGGTGGAGGCAAGCAAGAATTTGGGTTTGCGTTTTATTGGGGAGGGAGGGGGGAGGTTTACGCTGGAAAAATTTTTGAGAAGTTGGAGAAGTACCCTATGCCTTTGAAGGATAAAGAGAAGGATGATTTGAGTTCTGCAGGGATGAGGGACAATGTTAGCAACATGGGTGGTAGGGATGTGTTAAGATCCTGATGAAATTGATGGGGAGAACCTTAAATAAGTGAGTTGGTAGCATATCAGATTTTCGAGAAGAAAGTGGTTTTAGAGTTGGGAAAGGATAAATGACTACTCCAGAGGTGCTAAAATTTCTGAGACTTTTCAGGATCCATCTAAACAGTTCAGAAGTTGAAAGAATGTCCAAACCATCCAAGTGTCAAAAGTATTTGCAAGACTGAAAGGGGGGATTATTTGGGATTGGATTCCATAAGAAGGGAAAGAAGGCAGAGGTGTGCCAAAAGAAGTAGAGAGGTTGCTGTTACAGATATAAGAGTAATAAACTAATTGAACAATGGCTGTGGCTTCTTTGAAGGGATTTGGGGTGGTTGGATTTGGGAAGAAAAAAGGCTCAGACAGTTTCTTTCAGGGTGTATGGGGGTCTAAATATCAATATGTTGTTATGTAGGGGTCTATTTTGGTCCAGGCTGGGTTTTTTACTTTTTGTTCTTGCTTTTGATGAAAATCTTGGTTTTGGTTGGTGGGGAGTTCGGATGGGGAGGCTGGGTGGTGGGGGTCTATGCCTTTCTCTTTCATTGGGGGTGATTTCTTATCACCTTTTTTGTAATATCTTTTCTTTTTTATTTATTACCAAAATAATATTTACTGATTATCAATGCCTTTTGGATTGAATAAACCACGGACAGACCTGAGAAAATGGTGTTACCTGGTTTGGCAGGCATTCAACTTAATATTTTTGGCTTGGTAATGAAGTTCACATGTTTGTGTGTTGGCTGTTGATGGTGTACAGGTGTGTGAACATCTGATTGTCACGTAGGAAGACTTCCATCTCTGCATTAAGTGTGTAGCGATGCGGTCTGTGTTGACAGAACAGCACTTGGATCGACTTGTGATAGGGGTGAGCAAGAAAAACCGAAAAACTGAACCAAACTGAACCGATGAGAACGAACTGAAAGTTCCGATTAACTGAACTGACCGATATGCATATATTTATATATATTATATATTTATGTATATGATATGTATTTTTCATATATATTTTATATTATCTATACGTTATAAATGAATATATATTATTTATTATTTATAAAATAAAATAATGTAATGTTTTATATTTATTATGTATAATATTGTAAAACTGAAAACCGATGAACCAAACCAGTGGTTAACCGAACCGTGAGCACCCCTAAAATGTGTGTTTTAAGACCTGTTAGTTGTGATCAGTGTTTTAAAAGGTGTGGATGTGCCTCCAGGCAAGGTGCTCCCAAAACGCCCAGATGTGACGGTTCAGCACAGGCTTAGCCTTGCCTACGCTTGGCAGGCTTACGTTAGGGACATGCCCGTCATTTTCGCCTGTAAGATTTTTRGRAGAACTGATGTCATCTTYAGGCARACCACCAAAAGCTTAACGTACTCTTTGAGGAGGGGTGGTCGGCCTCCTTGGGTGCCTAACCTTGGCACTCCTAGACCTTCATCCCCTTGCGGGGCGGCCCTGGTTAA